TGGTCGTTAAGTCAAGAACTACCTATAATACACCCTTTAAAAAATACCTATAATGTAAAAATTAAGCAGCGGTGTAATAATGTATCTATATTATTATTGTACAGTTACAAATGTAGTTTAGAATAGGTACACGGTATCTTTATTTTTCATGTGTGTGTGTGTGTGTGTGTGTGTGTGTGTGTGCGCGTGTATGTGTGTGTGTACATGTGTAATTTATATACGAGAAAGAAAAAAAGAAACGACTCAGATTGCCTATGAAAAAAATCAGAAAGGAAATAATGAAAAAAACCTTTCCCAAATTTTAAAACAAAGTTCTATGCTAGAAGTAAAAATTAAAACATTTGAATTTCTAAGCCATCGTGATATATACATATAAAAGTAGGCAAGGCAGGGCAGGGCAGGGGAAGGAGCAGGGGCAAGGGCAAGGGCAAGGCAGTTTTGAATTGAGGCCAAGCAGAATCACATTGGCTGATCTTGCCTTTTTAGTGAGCCCAAACTCAGACTCAGTTCTGCATTAAGAGAATATTTCAATCTGCAGCTGGAATAAATGATGCAGCTGCAGCTGGGGAAGGGAAGGCATTCCATGTCAGACACCAGGAGATGCTGATTATTAGCAGAAGTGGATCCACCAAGATTGAAATGAACTTGCCCTGAAATGCTGACCATCAGGGGCATCCCAGAGGCCGTCAAAAAAGTTAAGGTCCTACACACAACTGTGCACCATTAGACATCCCTTTTGGGCTACCTGGTTGGGTCCTTGTGGAGGTTTCAGCCACTTAACTCTGACTTCCCTTTTTTAGGTTATAATGCATCCTTTCAAGCCCCGAATGTCCCTCGTGAAGGGAGGGCTGTGTGTCCTGGTCATTTGGGTGATGGCCATCTGCTTCTCGCTGCCCTACGCCATCTACCAGAACCTTGTCAGGTTGTCTTATGGGTAAGATTGACCAAGATCACCCAAGAGAGAAAGGAAGGCCTCTCATCCTCCTCCACTCTGGACACCAGAAATGATGAACAAGGCCTGGGGAGGGATCGAAACCTTCTCCCTTTTGTGTGCCGTCTGCATGCCCCTTCCACAGGGGAGAGACTTGGACTGTGTCACTGCACTGGCCGTTGTGCAGATTTTGACACACACCCTTCTGACATGCCTGTCTTGCGTATGATTCTGTGTCGTGTTTGGCATTTCCGAGAATGCATCAGAGGTGGGATTCAGCAGGTTCTGACCAGTTCTGGAGAACAAGAAGCAGAAATTTTGAGTAGTTAGGAGAATCGGTAAATAGCACCTCTGGCTGGCCCTGCCCCCATCTATTCTAAACTTCAGATGTTTCCTAAGTGTTTCCCAGGTGTTTCCTAAGAATCAAGACTGACCCAAAGGCACATGTTTGCGTGTGCACGCACGCACACACACACACACACACACTCTCTCTCTCTATGTGTATAGGTAAATGTTCCCCTTGCACATATGTGCTAGTCATTCCCAACTCTAGGGAGCGGTGTTCATCACCATTTCAAAGCCGAAGAGCCAGTGCTGTTCGGATATGTCACCGTGGTCATGTGGCTAGCATGACTAAAAGCTGAAGGTGCACAGAACGCTGTTCCCTTCCCACCAAAGGTGGTCCCTATTTTCTACTTGCCTTTTTTTAACATGCTTTTGAAATGCTAAGTTGGCAGAAGCTGGGACAAGTAACGGGAGCTGACTCCGTTATGCGGCACTAGCGATTCAAACTGCCGAACTGCCAACCTTTCTGATCAACAAGCCCAGCATTTTAGCCACTGAGCCACCACATTCCTCCGTGTGTATATACTGTATTTATATATTTAAATTTCCATAAAACATCTTGAATGGTTTAATAGTTAAACCCAATAACATTTTAAAAATTAACATATGAATGGATGGAAAAATACAAGTATTGCCTGCCTTACAATTCACACATCATTGCTGCATATTTGGTAAGTGCATGTTTCGAAATAATTTGGAAGTGAACGCAATTGCAATTCCCTGTTTCTAAAGAGGTTATGCAATTTCCTCTCCCCTGTTTTTTCAAGCTTTTACACAAACCTGAAAGAAAGATAATTCCTGCTTTAAGGAATTCAGTCATAAAAGATTCTTTCCGGGTAGCTTTTTCTCCCAGGCTTCTGCTATGTTCATGAAAGATCAAAAATCATTTTTTTCCAAATAATCTGCAAAGCATGGACAGCTCTCCTTTATCCCGACAGATTCCAAGCTGAGATCCAATCAGTAAAAAATTGATAACAATCAAGCAATACAATTAAACTGTTTGGCTCACTGACTCTAACAAGTTATGAATAATCATTAAAAAAAATAATTTCATCTAAATACTAGTATCCTTGTTTTTAAAAATTGCTTGTGTCTCAATTAACTCCATCCACCAAATAATTTCAGCCAAAAATCTTTACAAAATGATACTTTTGCCAGTAGCATAAGAAATTGTTCTCAGCAACTTGCCTGATTCGTCTGAACTGGTGAGCTGACAGCTGATGAGATGAGCTGTATTGTCCATCCCCTTTCAAACAGAAAATGAGAGAAGATAGAAAGGAACTTGATCCCTTCCCCCATCATACACTTTCAAAGTGAAACATCTTCCACTAAAAATGGCTTTCTTTCCTTCTGTGTTCCAGAAATGGGACCATCCGTATGGTGTGCCTTTCCAGCTTCCCTCCTCCGACAGATCTCTACTGGAAGTACTTGGACTTGGCCACTTTTGTGCTTATGTATCTTCTGCCTTTGTCAGTGATCTCTGTCACTTACATATCGGTGGCCAAGAAACTCTGGATGAGGAACGCCATTGGCGACGTGACAGTGGACCAATACTATGCCCACCAGCGGAAAAAGAAGATGAGCCTGAAAATGTTGATGGTGGTTGTGATAGTGTTTGGCATCTGTTGGTTCCCCCTGAATTGCTACTTGATCTTCATGTCCAGCCAAACCGTCAATCACCACAATGGCTTTTACTTTTCTTTCCACTGGTTTGCCATGAGTAGTGCCTGCTACAACCCCTTCATTTACTGCTGGCTGAATGAAGGTTTCCGCACAGAATTCAGGGCCCTGTTGAGAATGTGCTGTAAGAAGCAAACTCCCAGCAGTCAGCCCCTCTGGTCCATATCGGCTGACTTCAGGCTCAGCTGGGATGGCAATTATTGCTGCAAACAAGAGGCTGCCACTCAGCGGACAAGGAAGTCATCTCACAGGAACTCTGCACAGACCAACATCTCTATTATCGAGCTGATCACAACAGGAAGCTAGGAGGAGGCTTGAAGGTGGAATGAAGCAGCCTCACTCTGGTTTAGTAACAGTTCTATAGTTACCATATTTTTTGAACTATAAGATGCACCAGTGTACAAGATGCACCAAGATTTCGAAGAGGTAAGTAAGAAAAAAAAAAGTTTTTGTCCTCCTCGGCCCCCAGGAGCACTCTGCAGGCTTCAGAATTGCTGGGGGAGGGGAAAATGCCCCCTTTTTTTTTTACCGAAACAGAATTAATACGGAATCTTTGATTTTCAAATGTAACTGTGATTCCAACTGGAGCTTCCCATTTATACTTTATTTGACGATTTCTAAGTTCTTGGGTTAAAAAAGTATAACTTCTCCTTGCTTGCAGCATCTGAAGCGGGATATCTTTAAAGACGAACAAATCGTGGCCATCGATTCGAAGCCTGCTATTATAAAGCTTTTGTGAGATCGCATTTCTGGATTCTCTTGTGAAAAAATATATAATTATGTCTCTTGGAAGCTGTCGTTGCTCTGCTACATGCGAATTTTGGCGATAGATTTTTCGAATATTCCAATCAAAATTAAGTCCTGGGCCTCCCACCACTTGGCTGAAAGCTTCTACAAAAGTCTGTTTCAAATTTTCTCCTTTCTTTTCAGGCAGTCCTCTGACTCTTATTGCAAACGCCTTTGTATTATAATTTATCATTGTAAGTTGTGTTTGATTATTAATAATCTCTTGTTGTAAAGCTTGAATATTAGAAGTCAAATTAAAATTAGCCCTCTCCAAAGTTTCCAATTTCGTCTCCATTTCTTCAACATAATCTGTTAAAGTAGACGTGACTTCAAACGTATTCGCATTTATCTGGGCAATTTTGGTATGTATTTTATCGCATAAATCCAACACAAATTCTTGAATTTCTTTTCTAAAGTCATTAATTATTTGAAAGAGAAGCTCCTGTGTCAAGAAATCTCCAGTAGATGGCGTAGGAGGCAAAGGCAGCGATTTGGTAGCAAGTTCTTTAAGCACGAGGGGGGAGGATTTTTTTGCCTGTTTAGACCTGGGAGACATTATAGATAAAATCTGAGAATAGACAGATAAACAGTGTCTTCAGCTGGCCAGTTTTCAATAAATTATTTGTAGATTTTGCTCATTAATGAGTAGCGGTCTCCGGGGAAATAAAGCCAGTTAATTACGTCATCAATCACCAACACAGTAAAAACGCCATTTTGTATCCCAATTGCGCAGAGAAGTTCAAAGGAAAAACAAGGCTGGTGTTTAGATAGTTAAAAAAAAAAACACATCACAGAAGTGTGACCCGCTCGTATTATCTTAAAAACAATTTATCATTGTCCTGAGTGCGGGAGTCGGCTGTCTAGGGCTGCAAAAAGGCAGCTGCAAAGAACTGGTTGGAGATAAGAGCTCAGTTACGCTGTATCCATTCTCTGTTCGCAGCCCCCCCCAAAAAAAGAAGAGGGCTGTGAACTACGAATAAATCCTAACACCTGAGCTTCTGCCTGTCCCTTTCTGCCAGAAAGGGATGATATCTATTGATCTTAATTAGATATACAGACCAGAACTTTAAGAGGGGCTTCGTTGAGCTCCTCGGCGACAGGCTCCTCACACAGGAAGTCTGATACTCTGAAAAATCCAGTAGGTCATCTACTGTCCAGCCATTTGCAAAACTCACATTTCGTGCTTTCTGACAAGAACTTATCCCATCAGCATTCCCCAAGTGGACGTCGCTTTAGGTTGCTGCTTTCCATGAGTGATGGAAAAATCTGCAATGCAAAAGCCCCAGTGTTGGTGTTGATACCTTCATTGTCTGGAGCCCAACCCCATCTGGGGTGTTTCTTGAGCCTGGCCATCTTTACGATTCATGGACTTCAAGTCCCAGAATTTCTCCAGCCAGCATGGAGAAGTCCAGGTATCTTAAAGTGGCCAAAGTTGAGAAACACTGGTTTTAACAAGTCATTATTTTGAAATAAAATAATTTGAAGACCAAAACGGTGTAGACAAACATTGGACAGAAGAAGAGAAGGGATTTCTTTATGCTTCGCCTAAAAGAAAGCTACAGATTTGAGCACCCATTTGTGACTGAAATAAATTAGGGGCGGGGCTTCAAAGGCCTCAGCAGGGACAGAATTCGCTTTCAGGTGAGAAGGTCTGGAAATGCACTTGGTTACTTTCTGGTAACACTCACTGGCAGGAGCAGGAGGTAAAAGTAGCAGCACTTCACAATTCCTGGGGCAAGGCTGGGATTTTTCACCCACTTGGGTGTGGGTATGTTTTGAGCAATGATTTCAGTCACAAAATGATAGCAATTATGATGTGATACTTAAATTTGGGGGTGTTTTCGGAAAAGGGAAGGAGCCACAGGAAAGGGGTCTGGTGGAATGAAATGCAGGACCCCCACAACCAATAATCAAGGCTCGCTGCAGAATTTATTTACTTTTTTTTTTAAAAAAATATAATTTTTATTAAACATTATTACCTTTAAAAAAACGGAAAAAACAATACAGCGACATAAATACAACGACATAAGCAAGACAAATCATACATAACAATATAAAGACCTAATAATGAGGAAAGAAAGAAAAACCAGGCTGTGAATGACTGTCGCCGGGGGGGGGGCGGGGGGGTTGTATGTTTAAAACTGTATTTGTATCTGTATGTTTTAC